AGTTCGCCTGACACATCGGCCTGTGGGCTGGAGCCAGCTGGGGGCCTGCCAATTGCCCCCGTTTCCTTGGTTGCATGCTAACAGGAAGGAGAGCCCACCACCTCCCGAGGGAGTCCGTTTGACTGTCAAACTGCTCTTGCCACCATAAAGCTTTTCCTGGTGTTTAGTCAGAATCTCCTTTCTTGTAACTTAAAGCTAGTGGTTCAAGTTCTACCCTCCGGAGCAGGAGAAAACAAGCTTGTGCCATCTTCCATGTGACATCCCTTGAGATATTTGAAGATGGCGATCATATCTCCTCTCAGTCTCCTCTTATTCAATGCCATTCTACTAGGAACAGGTCCGCTGAAGTTACTGGACATGACTGAATTAGGTTCATTTATTTCAGTGGGCCTACTCTGACTAGGGTTTAGTTGAATATACAACCCTCTGGTTAGAAGCCCTGCTTTTGGTGGACATTTGGAGTCGAGGCACTTTTTATTATTATTACATATCTATCCTAACATTAGGGACGCGGGTGGCGCTGAGGGTTAAACCACAGAGCCTAGGACTTGCCGATCAGAAGGTCGGTGGTTCGAATCCCTGCGACGGAGTGAGCTCCCGTTGCTCGGTCCCTGCTCCTGCCCACCTAGCAGTTCAAAAGCACGTCAAAGTGCAAGTAGATAAATAGGTACCGCTGTGGCGGGAAGGTAAATGGCGTTTCCGTGCGCTGCTCTGGTTCGCCAGAAGCGGCTTAGTCATGCTGGCCACATGACCCGGAAGCTGTACGCCGGCTCCCTCGGCCAATAAAGCGAGATGAGCGCCGCAACCCCAGAGTCAGCCACGACTGGACCTAACAGTCAGGGGTCCCTTTACCTTACCTTTACCTATCCTAGCATTCTTTCATGGGGATTAACTCCCATTTTATCTTCACAACAACCTAACTTCTGTATTTAACTTACCCAACAGGGTTGTTGAGAGGATACAATGCTGGAGGGAGAACTATGTTTGCCACCTTGAGCATCCTCAGAGTAAAGTTAGGGCATGAATGTGATACATAAATAAAACAACTGAGTTTGCCACAAACCGATCGCCTCTTCAGTCTTCACTTATGACAGTAACATTTTCATTGCCGCATGCTGACTATTCCTATTATTTCTTTGAAGAAGCTTTCTTGCTTTGAGAAGTTCAGGGCCCCACTCCCTCCAATATTTACTATTAAAATGAAACATGAAAGATTAGGTGTGATAAGCAAACCAGAGTATGCACCAGTCTTCTCCCAAATGTCTTGCTTTGTATCAATATGACACAGCCCTTCCATCATCACTTTCTGTATCACTGATAACTGACAGCATGGGGAATTATTTGTACTGTGGGCCCTGAACAAATATCAAGGTTAATTATCCGTGTGTGTGGAACACAGGGCTATGATATAAAGGAGATTATTAAAATCGGAAAGTGGCAAACTGCTCACACTAAGCAGCTCCTGGGTGATTTCAAAGCACGTCAGAGAGTGATTTCTGCTTCCTTCCCACCTACCCGCCCACAGATTGAATTAGCTTTGTCCTGATCAACAGAAGGGGGACAATTATGGCCATGACAGGTCATGTTGCTCCAAACAAATTCATAGTATATGGATCATAAAACCCGTGATGTTAGTTCGGCTTGATATCTTCCACACACAAGGCCAGAGACCCGGCCTTGTTTCCAGCAGAACAATTCCAAAGGAAGAAGGCAAAAGCATAGGAGTGTAATTGGCAGGTTATTAGCTCTGAGCAGACTGGCTCAGAATTCACTCCGCCTATAAAGAAGCCGCTTCAGAGTGAGCAAACAGTGGTATCTAATGCTCCCCTGGATGTTAATTTTCGAGAGGCTATAAGATCCGGAAGCCACAAGTGAGTGCATGCAACAGATATAAAGTGGGAATGTCTATGTTAATGAGAGCTGAGGAACTGACCAAGATAAGAAGAAGAAATTGGGTTTAGTGGCTTGTTCTTAGAACATAGGGGTAACTTGGACTTGGGGGAGAAATTCAGTCTGGCCCATGTATAGAAACACATCTGCCTAATCTGTGCTTCCTGAAACAATACATGAACTGATACACAGCTAGACTTAGAAAGGTGAACTTTTCTGAATTTTGTAAATTCTTTTTTTTTTTAAGTTATTGCATCTATAACCCACATTTTTTCCTCTAAGGTGGCATACATGACTCTCCCCCTCCTTATTTAATCCCTGCCGACTGGGGATTTGAACCCTGCACTCCCAAGTCCTGGTCCAACACTCTAACCAGTACGCCACATTGGCTCGAATTTAGTTCTCTGCAATGTACCTCTCCAACCAAAAATGTGCATGGCAATCCGTATGTTACAGGAAAGTATGTGTTGAAATGCCTTTACTGGTTTGAATGCAAACCCTCCAATTATATGCAACCCCTGAAACAATAGGCAAACTGTAACACAGCTATCCTAAGAAATTCACACTTCTCTGAATTTTTGTACTTTAGTTCTCCAACCAAAAATATGCAGAAAAATCCACATAGCTGGGGAAAGTGTGTGTGAAAGTGCCTGTGTGAAAGTGACTCAGGAGAAGGCAGCTTCCTCTGCTGTTATATACATGAATCAAAGAATTGCAGAGCTCTGATTGCATTCCCATCTATTTTGGATGCATTACAAGGTGGAGAGTATTTGGTAGTTTGATAGGATGGATTGCATCCTGTTTGTTAAAATGCCCCTAACAGTGGTAGATTGGCCAGCTAAATGGAGAGTTTGAACCTTGTGGAATAAAGATTTTGTTCCATTTGCTCATGCTGTTTAGAGACATCCTCATAAATATTTGCATAGCTTCCGTAAAATAATTGAAGATTGCTGAACAAATCCTAATCATGTTAATTTCTGTTAGCAAACACAGCAAAGCAACAAAAGCAATGTTTTCACTTTGTAGCTCTGATCTGGAATTGCTAATGTTTAGGTGTCTGTTAAGGTGCTAGAACAAGCTAAGATTTATGACACAGAATTATAAATCCAGTCACTCATATTTCCGTTTTCATCCTCTCACCTCACCCACAAAGCTTACAGGTGGTCTTAGGAACACAATTCTCTCTCTCTCTCTCTCTCTCTCTCTCTCTCTCTCTCTCTCTCACACACACACACACACACACAGCTGCTGCTGCCATACTGTCTGTAATATGGGGAAAATAATAATGACCTACCTTTCCAGTTTTTTTGTAAGGGTTGCAGAGAAAATGCATGGGAAGCTCTTAAATTGAACACCTAATATATAGCAAACCACATAGCCTCCTCTTTGGCAATCAGTATTGTACAAGATCAGCAATTCAATGATGTCACTCCCAAGAACATCCTGATTTTGTCTCTGGCAAAATTGGATTTTGAGACTACTAAGTACAGTAAAAGCATTCTCTCTAAACCAAAATCCCAGAGACATCTAAAACCGTTCAGAGCTTTTGCCATTACGGTTAGCTCAACACCAGTTGTAACCGGGAATCCTATGGAACTCAGACAGAATCAGCTTATTATAGCTGTACACTTAGAGACTTATGCCTACAGGTTTGGCTAAAAAAGGTAATATAATACAAGGCATTAACTTCTCTCTATTTTTTATATGCATTCCTTTAAAAGGCACATCCCACATGACAGTTGAACCCTGTGTAAATTGTATTTCTCCTTTGCCTAAACTTATGATTACCCATGGAGTTTTATATGCCTGTTGTCTTTGTCCATGGAGTTTCCTTGGCAGGGATACTGGAGTGGTTTGCCGGTTCTTGCTCCAGGTGGATCACGTTTGGTCAAAACTCTCCACTATGACCTGTCCATCTTGGGTGGCCCTGCACGGCATAGCACATAGCTTCTCTGAGTTGTTCAAGCCCCTTCGCCACGACAAGGCAGAGATCCATGAAGGAGCTGGACCATAAAGAAGGCTGATCGCCAAAGAATTGATGTTTTTGAATTATGGTGCTGGAGGAGACTCTTGAGAGTCCCATGGACTGCAAGAAGATCAAACCTATCCATTCTGAAGGAAATCAGCCCTGAGTGCTCACTGGAAGGACAGATACTGAAGCTGAGGCTCCAAGTACTTTGGCCACCTCATGAGAAGAGAAGACTCCCCGGAAAAGACCCTGATGTTGGGAAAGATTGAGGGCAGAAGGAGAAGGGGACAACAGAGGACAAGATGGTTGGACAGTGTTCTCGAAGCTACTAACATGAGTTTGACCAAACTGCGGGAGCCAGTGGAAGACAGGAGTGCCTGGCGTGCTCTGGTCCATGGGGTCACGAAGAGTTGGACACGACTAAACAACTAAACAACAACAACATGATTACCCAAGTGATTTAAGCATCCTCTGGGCTATTTGGATAAATGGGGTCATGGTGCTCTGGCCTTTTCTCTTTATGCTAATGGAAAGATACCATGAAAGACATTCTGAAGCTTGCAAATTGCTTCCACTGAAGCACTTAAGTGAGGAAGGCTCATAACCTTCACAAGTCAGCTTCTTGCTTGGAAGAAGACAGGAACCCTGGCACAGTCTCTGGAACCTGAAGAGTTTGAAAGTTAAAGGTGCACTAAAGACAAACACACAGTTTTGAAGGTCCATTCATCTCCTGCAATCACCTGGGTAGGCATGAATGAATTTCGCATTTCCCCAATTTTGAGTTCTGTTTGCCACATTTCCTTAATCAGCTTGCGATTTATTTTTTTAAGTCCTCAACAAAATTTGTCAGCCTTCCACAGTTTGTTTCTCCTGATATACACATTTATGTATGGAATTTTGCCGAATATAAACATTTGGGCAAGCTATTTCCCCTAATATAATTAATCTTTGCTTGTCATTTTCAAAAAAATATGTAGTATATTTTAAAGCATGCTTCCCCCTATTACAAAAATTTTGGGTTGGAAAACTTCCTGGAATGGAGAGAGAAAACACGTAGTGTTTGGCAATAGCTAAACTAAATAAGTGAACTATCCATGCCATCCAAAATTACCCTCAATATTCAATTCAGAGCAAAAACGTTTGCATGATAGCTCAGTTGGCAGAGCATGAGACTTGTAATCTGAGGGTTGTGGGTTTGAGCTCCGTGTTGGGCAAAAGATTCCTGCATTGCAGGGGGCTGGACTAGTTCAGTGGCGTCCAAACTTGTTTCAAAGAGGGCCAGATTTGATGAAGTGAAGGGCCGTGGGGGCCAACCAAGGTTGTTGACCTTTTTTAGGAAATAAACTCCCATAGGCCAGATTTAACCGTCCGGCAGGTCGAATTAGGCCCCCGAAATGGACTTTGGACATGCCTGGACTAGATGATCCTACAACTCTACAATTCTATTGTTATGTACTGAGTTGAATAGGATCCAAACTGCAGCAGTCTGATTGGTCCTAGAACAATAGGATCCAAAATGCAGCAGTCTGATTGGTCCTGGAACAATAGGATTCAGAATGCAGCAGTCTGATTGGTCCTAGAACAATGCAGCAGTATGATTGGTTGGCAGGAACCACCCAATCATGCTCCAGATATAAGTGAATCCACAACCTGATTGGCTTACAGTAGAATTCCAGAATTAGCCAATCATGTGCAGCCCATTGTGTAAATAATGTATATAAAGCAGCTCACTACTATGAGCTGAATAAAGAGCATGAAATTACTTTGAGACTCTGAGTATATTTCATCTATGATTCAACCTTCATTTTACTCAGGTCCCCAATCTGTTTTTATTTTGGATTATAGTAAATAAATCTTGATAGCTAAACAGTGTGCATTCACTGCCACATTTATAATGCAATCCTGTACATGCCCATACAGATGCATGTCCCACTGTGTTCAATGGGACTTACTCCCAGGTAAATGGATATAAGATTGCAGACCAAAATCAGACCAAACCTGTGTGAAAGGCAATGTGGTGTAGTGGTTAGTGTGTTGGAGATTAGGACTTGGGAGACCAGCCTTCAGATCCCCAAGAAGCTCGTTGGGTGATTTTGGGGCCAGTCACTACTTCTTAGGGTTGTTGTGAAGACAAAAGACAAGAGAGAAGAAGAAGAAGAAGAGTTTGGATTTGATATCCTGCTTTATCACTACCCGAAGGAGTCTCAAAGCGGCTAACATTCTCCTTTTCCTTCCTCCCCCACAACAAACACTCTGTGAGGTGAGTGGGGCTGAGAGACTTCAGAGAAGTGTGACTAACCCAAGGTCGCCCAGCAGCTGCATGTGGAGGAGCGGAGACCCGAACCCGGTTCCCCAGATTACGAGACTACCGCTCTTAACCACTACAGCACACTGGAACTAGGCAAGTTACCATGTGCTCCTTGGGTAGCTTGTCCCTTGTTGTTGTTAAGCTGTTTTTTTAAAAATATTGTGTTTTGATTGTTGCAAGCCACCCTGGGACCTTACACTGAAGGGTGGGCAAATAAATATATAAATAACTTGGAAGAAAGTCATAGACATGTCGAGCTGTAGAGTCCGAAGGGACCCGCAAAGGGCATCTAGCCCAACCCCGCCACAACGCAAGTTCCACGCAGGGAGATGAGACTCACCCTTGTATATCTTATTGGGGAAAGTGTGTTGTTAGCTTAAACAACATGGAGATAGTTTGTAAATTAACAGCAGCTATAGACCTCATAAGCAGAAGTAGCGCTTTTACACTTGGGAGGATAACACTCTAATCTATTGTAGTCCAGTTGATTATAGCAGCTAAAATAGCCTCTTTGATGAATAGTGGTTATTTTTGTATTTTTAATTCTATAGAAGGAAGCTCTATTTTCAGTTTGACAAAATGATGGAGAGCCCTAGATTTGCTGCACGACTACTTTGCTGATTGCTCAAAGCTGGCAATTTTGTTGCAATCTCAGCTTTTAACGGTGATGGGTTAATAGAAAGCTGATAGCTCACAGGGAGATTATAACAGCAATGTAAAAACAGGTCGCTTTTCTCTTTTGTAAAGCAAGAGGGCTCATCCCTTATTTTAAGGATTGCCCCGGATTTTAAGCCTTCTGCTGTTACAGAATAGCATCCCCATAGAACATTTTTGCTTCCCTTCATTTCTACATGCTCATTGGCTTATTCTATTCACCATTATTAGTTCTTTGGATGATTTATAGACTACCCTTTACATGAGCCACAGGGTGGTCAAATAAGATAAAAAGAGCCCATCAAATAACACCATCCTTAAAATGCACAACAACTTGTAACTGCTCACTAAATACCAGTTTACAAATAACAGCAGCTAACCCATTTATCAAAAAGAGTCCATCTCAGACATTTGCCTAAAACTATAAAGAGAAGGGACACGGGTGGCGCTGTGGGTTAAACCACAGAGCCTAGGACTTGCTGATCAGAAGGTCAGTGGTTCGAATCCCCGTGACAGGGTGAGCTCCCGTTGCTCGGTCCCTGCTCCTGCCAACCTAGCAGTTCGAAAGCATGAAGTGCAAGTAGATAAATAGGTACTGCTCTGGCGGGAAGGTAAACGGTGTTTCCGTGCGCTGCTCTGGTTAGCTAGAAGCGGCTTAGTCATGCTGGCCACATGACCCGGAAGCTGTACGCTGGCTCCCTCAGCCGATAAAGTGAGATGAGCGCCGCTACCCCAGAGTCAGCCATGACTGGACCTAATGGTCAGGGGTCCCTTTACCTTTTATAAAGAGAAGAGGCCAGATGCACCGTTGCAGGTTTTAAATCAGAGATTGGATGGCCATTTGTCATGGATGCTTTAGTTGAGATTCCTGTCTTGCAGTGGGTTGGATTAGATGGCCCTTGGGGTCCCTTAGAGAAAATCCTACAATTCTATGATCATCCAGGGACTCAAAGATGCCATGGCCTTCAATATAAGCTTCACATGACCTCCGGAAACAGAAAATATCCATGCTGGCGTTTTGCGTTTGGAAAAGGCAGAAATCCAAATATCAGCTGAAGATTCCTTGTCATCTTCAGTCTTCTTTGCACAGCTATGATCTCGGCTGATCAAGAGATACCAGGAACCTGTGCTTCTTATTAGCATAACAATGCACATTTCTTGAATAGTACACCCTTGCCCAACTCTGTCTTTAAAAGATATGCATGTCTTGTGATTTTTAAATTGCTTCTTTTTATACGAATTGATTAAAGGCTACTTTCTCTATCTAAGGAAGGCCTGACATGATTTCCAGAGACTGGAATCAAAGACCACTGTGGGCCCAACTGCACCTTATGCTAAGCGCATGGTTTGTAGCTTTGCCTCCTACAGTGGTAGCTCGGGTTACAGACACTTCAGGTTACAGACTCTGCTAACCCAGGAATAGTACCTCGGGTTAAGAACTTTGCTTCAGGATGAGAACAGAAATCGTGCTCTGGTGGCGCGGCGGCAGCAGGAGGCCCGGTTAGCTAAAGTGATGCTTCAGGTTAAGAACAGTTTCAGGTTAAGAACGGACCTCCGGAATGAATTAAGTTCTTAACCCGAGGTACCACTGTAATTCTTTTTAACTACTAGACACGTGAGGGGTGGCAGTTTGTTGCTGCTGCAGGAGTCAAAGCATGTGGTGAGGGGACATAAGAACATGAGAAGAGCCAAAGGCCTGTCTAGTTCAGTGCTCTCTTCTCCCAGTGTCTAGTCAGCTGCCTCTGGGAAGCCCCACAAGCTGGACCTGTACACAGCAACATCCTCTCCACCTGTGAGTCTCAGCAACTGGGGTCCAAAGGCATAATCAGTGCCGGATTTATGTATAAACTAAACAAGCTATAGCTTAGGGCCCCACTCTCTTGCCCCCCCCCAAAAAAAATTTAAAGGAAAACAAAAACTGAATGTACATTTCCAAAACATAAGATAAAAAACAAATAAAATAAAACCTACATACAGCAACAGTGTTTTGTGTTGTGTAGGCTCCTATGATGTAAGTCATGGGCCCCGCCTGCTAACCTGCTCCCTAAAATATCACTGGTTTGCTCATTTCTATATATAGGGTGCCTACATTCTGCACGGACTGCAGGTTGCATGGCAACATGTAGCATGTAGCTGCAGATTGCATTGCAGCACAGCTGAATGTAGGTCAAGCTGTTGTACCTGTTATCTAAAGTTAAAATACATATTTTTGTTATGTGCAAATGCTTTTAGATACCTATTAGGTCCATAAATTACCATATAGCATATATTCAACACAAAAGCCAGCGGCAATTTGTTGTTGACAAAGGACAGCTGGACATATAAAGGGCCCCATTACCTTCAGTAGCTTAGGGCCTCATCAAACCTAAATCTGGCCCTGGGTATAATTACTTCCAGCTGTGGAGGTAGCACATAGCTACTGGGTCTAGTAGCTATTGATAACCTTACCCTCCATAAATGTGATCAGTCTAATTCTGTTTAAAAATCATCCAAGTTAGTCACCATAACTCTCACTTGCGGAAACGAATTTCTTAGTTTAACTAGGTGCTGTGCACACCTTTCTGTCTGTCCTGAATCTCCCAGAGTTCAGCTTCATTGGGTGGCCTTAGTTTGTACCCATGTTGGGTACAAGATTCCCGCATCCAAGGGGGTTGGACTAGATGACCCTCGTGGTCCCTTCCAACTCTACAATTCTACGATGCTATGATTTCTATGATGCCTATTGGTTGCCCTTTTCCAGACTTTGTAGGATAATGCTTCAGCTCCCTGTGTGATTGCTTGTAATCCCGTTACATTCTAACAGAAAGTTAAAATAATACACAGCCTGACATTGATAAATAAAAAGAAAATTTATCTTTTTTCATAGCAATTAATACTATTCTGTAGTGTACTTGTGTAGCATTTCAATAACATTTGTAGACACAGAGAAAGGTGAATTTAATTTTCATTATGTATTTGCATTTGACAATATTATTTAAGATCACATGAGAACTCTAAGATATTATCTGACAGCAAAAGCACTGTGCGCCTCTGAACAAACCTTTATCTCCCCCCTTTATATTAACACACAAAAAAAGAAATGGTTTCTTGAAGTTTGATGCATGACAGGTTAAGTAACTTTGGGGGATTCTGCTGGGTAAGCTAAACTCTATCTGGAACCAAATATAGGAAACTCTCTTGTGATGTATTTATCATGGCCATCATTAGACCTTTGAAAGTTGTCTCTACCATTCCTATAAGAAGGAAGAAGACA